GTATTTAATAAGGTTATAAGACAAGAGCAAGATGATTATATTAATCAGATGACTTGTCCTCCTAATACTGCAAAGAACGAGGCTCTTTTAGAAAATGCTTTGGTAATGATTGTCTGTATTCTAAGATTCCAGTTGTTATTATTGGGCACCCAGATAAATAAAGATGATTTATTTGATCATAGCACTTATTTGAATTAATATCAATTAATCACAATGATTTACTTGTAGCTTTTCAAAATCTTTGGCTATTTGGCTCGTTAGTCAACATCTCCGTAGATCTGATTCAAATGATGAATATTTCAGAAAATTGTCCAGGTATTTATACATACACATATTTAATAGCTAAAATTAAATATCTTTGTTTATTATTATTTAGCTAACATTCCAACAAAATTTTGTGACGTCAAACAAAAATTTATGACTTAATAGGTCTATCTTATTCCTCATCAAGGTTCATCCTCCTCAACTTCAGATGGTATTCTTAAAGCGCAAAATTATTAGAAGACACATTTAGCTATATTAACCGATCTGCTTGGGAAAATTATGACAGAATTATTATTTATATTTCTTCTGTAGCTTATTATAAAAAGAGTTCTTACATTTTATCCATTATATGGTTTGGGTGAATTACCTTAAGGCTTTGCACAATATAATTTTTTTACATACCTCTGATTATAAATTATAAATTTATATCTTACTATACCTTTTATTCATTCTTGGTTTCACAGACCTAATACTATTATGATAGTACTTATATATCAATAAAGCCGTGGATGATTTTGGTGATTGTATAAAAAGATGTTAATACAAAATTTTCAATGTAAAAAAACATTTAGATGAATGAACACAAATATTTTCAGATTGTTATATGTTACTCAGTTTCATATGATTAGCAATTGTTATATTAATTACTGTATATGTGTGTGATGTACATCATACGTACCTTTTCATTTAACCTACATGAAAGGAGACGAAATAAGTACATATCCTGAAAACTCTCATATTGTGTTTAAAAGTTCTCATAGATCATGGAACTATGTAATTATAAACGAGGGAGTTTATCCTCCTTTACATCAACTTGCTTATACTAAAAAACCTGAACAATATACTATTTCTGATCAGTATATTGTTCGCACAACATATGGAAAAAGGAAATATATTGCAGAATGTTCTATCCAGTATATTAATGATAAGCTATATTTCACAGTACAGTTTGACAAATACATAGTTTATTCAACAAAATCTCCATCAGATGTTGCAACTAAGTACTGCAAGGTGAATACAATTAATTTTTTTAAAAAAAATTTATTAGCATTAATAGTATTAAATTTAATATTATTGAAGGGTTTAAAAATATTAAGAAATAAGGGAACTTTGACAAGCGATGAAATTCAAGAAATAAATACAAATATAACTAATGAAAATAATAATAAAAAAAAGGACCTTCGAATGTCAGGTGTACAATTGTTTGGGTTACAATTAAATAGTGTTCATAAAGTTAGAAAAACATTACCATCCAATACCCATCTTAATACTCAACCTTTTAATAATCTTAGCAATTCTACTCAACGATGTCATATGTTAACAATGGCCAAACGTGTATTTGATCAAATTAAGGATTACAAAGAAAATATTTTTCATAATGATGATAAAGTTGAAATTAAGCAAGCACGTTTTACTGTAAATAATAAACCATTTGAAATTCACTATGGAAAATTTAATCAAAAAGATTTAGAAGACTTGCATTTAGTAGTTTTAAAATCATTAGATAAAAGCAAAATATCTCGTGAAGCTTATTAATCATTAGCACACATTAATCAAGATTTGCCAAGAGATGGTGCAATTTCAAATACGCGTCAAAGACTTAATGAACAAATGAACAATCTAGTTCCTTTATCATTTATAAATATAGAACAATCTGCTATATCAGAACTAACAATAGATCAACCACATATTACAGACTTTAATATAGTTAATAATATGGTTGAATCTGTTGGAAAAGGTGGTCAACATTCTATAATTGATCTTTTAAATTTTATGATTCCAGAATATGTAAAAAGAGGACTTTTAATTCTAAATAATACTACTATTAAACTTCGTATATCTGGAGATGGAAGAAATGTTGGGAGGAAGGTTCAACATGTGATGATAACAGCTATATTGCTTAATGATACCGAAAGATTACATAAACCTGAAGGATATCATACGCTTGTTCTTTATTTTGGATCAGAAAATTATCAATCTCTTCAAAATACGCTTGGTTTATTAATTTCTGATCTAAGAAATATAAAAGAATCTGGATTTTACCAACTTAACGACTGGCATTGGAACATAGAACTATTTTTTAGTGCAGATTAGAAGTTTTTAACAACCTGTTTAGGTTTTAATTCTGCAAATGCAAACCATTTTTGTCCGTGGTGCACATGTACTAAATAGCAAAATAGTATTCTTGATCAAAATAATAAACTAGTTGGTGATTAGACAATTACTAAAAATATGGAGAAAATAAAAAAGAATTTTTCAAAAATTAAAACATCAACAAGCATCTTTATTCGATATGATTGATCTTAAAAATTGGGTGTATAATGAGCTTCATGTAATTCTTCGCATTACTAATCGACTTTTTGAACTATTTTTATCTGATTTACGACAAAATAGAGAATTGGATAAAAATATTCAGCAGGAAATATTAGTGGAAATGAAACAAATTAAGGTGAATTTCCAATTTTGGACTGATAAAAATACAAAAAAATTATGTTATGTATCATTAATGGGCCCAGACAAACTTAAAATTTTACATAATTTTAATTTTAAGAATATTAGCACTCATTATTTACCAATAATTAGACAAAATCAACTAAAAAAACTTTGGGATGGATTTGCTGAATTACCGTATTTTCCCCAAAATAAGCTACCTTTTTTTTGGCAATTTTGAGCTTAAAAAATCAAAGGTAGCTTATTTTCAAGTATAAAAGGTTTTTAAGAATTTTATTTAATTACTATTAATTATTATATATATATATATATTTATATATAGCAACTAATAGTAATTATATTTAGGTAGCTTATTTTAGGATAAAAGATATTTTTAAGTTTTTTAAGCAAAAGAAGGGGGGTAGCTTATTTTCGGGGGTAGCTTATTATGGGGAAAATACGGTATATAATGATTTACATCATAACAAAATAAGTGGCAATAGTTTTAAAAAAAAGGCAATTGAATGGCTTGAATACTTTTTAACTTCATCTCAAGGACACCCAAATAGAAACTTTGTATGAGGATTATATCGAGCAACAGATTGTACACCCTATATGCACTCTTTAGTTTATTATATTTCTGAGTTTATAGATATTCATAAAGATTTAGGATTAATAACTTTTTCATATTCAGCTTTAGAAAAAAAAAACTATATTCAAGTATGTCAATATTTTCAAAATACATTAAAGGATGGTGGACATGAGTGTTCTAGGAAGTCAGCAGTTTTAGAAATATTGGAGCATAAAAATCGGCAACTATTTTTTTGGCAAGCAAATACTTCTAGTTATATTAAAAAAACTACACAATATTGGTTAGAGTAAACTTTAGTTTGTTACAGTAAGATTTGATGTTCTAAGACATTAATATTGAAGAAAAATAATAATATA